AAAGGAACCCTTGTAAATAGCGCAGGACTAACTTGTATTTCTCAGCAGCAGTAGCATTCTTCAATCATATTCAGACCCAATAGTCTTGCTTCAAAGGTAAAACACCTTTCTTAGAGCCAATGTCACACCCCAGTTTGACTCACTCTCTACCACGAACTGGAGCATAACAGAGAAAGATTTCAACGTATCAAACTCCACACTTAACAACATGAAGCATGTAATATACCTTATTGAACCTCAACATAATTAAAACAAATACAGAGCTCTATTAAAACTTTTAAAATTCATTCACATACCCAAAAGTCTTTACATCTAGCATTCAGATCTCGCTTTAGATCTCTTGCACCCCAAAACATACTTACATCAAAAGAACGATCACCTCTTTTTATTGTCCCAAGGGCTAGTTCCCCTTTCCTACAGTACAACCACCGCTAATGAGCTTGGCTCAATGAAATACGCAAGCAAGTTATAAGAAATAATAATGAACCATTAAGAAATACCATAACTATACTAACATAATTAAAACACATATTGAAATGTAATATTGATCCTGAAAGTGCCTAGCAGTATTATTTATCTTACCAAAACTATTCCACATCTTTAAATAAGTTATAGAATGACTATAAGCTTTTGCACCATTCAACTTTCCAATTCAAGGTTGGGTCTAATTTCCCAACTTTTAGAATGGAAGTTGTTCTCTCATTCAGGGTTGAGTCAAATTTCTAGAATTAAGAGTGTAGGCTTACCTCATCAGGTCTTTCGTCTTTACTTGTGCGGGCCTATCCCCCATATATAACTTATTTCACTTTTCATATAGTCATCATTTTTAGAGCCAATGGCATATGCTTTTGATGATATAGTTGCGCTTTAGCTTCTCTTCAGTTACCCTTTAGCTTCCCTTTAGGTGCCCTTTAACTGCCCTTTAGTTGCCCTTTAGGTGCGCTTTAGGTGCCATTTAGGTGCGCTTTAGGTGCCCTTTAGGTGCGCTTTAGGTGCCCTTTGCTTGCACTTTAGTTGCGCTTTATGAATATTTACCCTTCTATGCTTACTAAATCATTTACATTGCTAAAGATTATCCTTTACATAAACAAATTCATACATAAACAACCATATTCATTCAAATAATCAAAATAAACTAGAATACATGTGATCATAAACATAATGAAGATGGAGTGCAATAATAAAACATTTATTAATTCTTATAACCTTGTTTGGGTATCTCACCTCGGTATCCCGATTCTTTCTTCTTTTCCTTTTGTAAACAACCTTCACTAAACTTCCTCATTCAACGCAACACCTTCTCTTTCTGTAATACATTTAGCAAACCAATTTCAACAACCCCTTTATTTCAGCAAATCGCAGCAGTAACTATTACTTACTTTCAGCAAACAACAATACCCTTACATGAATTTAGCTTTTCCTCCATTATCCTTACTGATTTCCACATTCAGCATTCAAAAAGAGTGACAGAAATTCACAATTTATGCATTCTTGAACTGCAGCTTCTCCAACACTAATCGTAGATTCAACACTTGGTTTCTCCAACTTCCAACAGCCGAATCCTCTACTATTACTCAGCTTGCTTGCCCGCTGCTTCAATTCCAGGTGATGGGCAAATGAAAGTAATGAAAGGGACTTATAGGTTTACTAGTGCTTTACCGTAATATATAATATTATTATAAGATAGTGCATTCTCCACTACAATTCCACTAATATTCTAGCCATCTGATCTCCATCCAGCCCATGCATATCAAGATTAGTGGAGACTATAGTAACAATTAATAAATTGTTGTCAATTAATTGTTATTCATTAACTATAATATTAACTATAATACTAAACAGTTATTTAAAAGATACCTATTCACAGACATTTAAGATATATTGATACCAAAATTACTCGAAATTCAATATCAAATTTGATGAAAATATTTTTGATACTTTCTATATGTGAGAGAATATAGGGGAAATTTGTATGTTTATCTTTTTGGACCAAAATTTTGGGTATTATAGCCAAGCACCTTCATAGGATTGCACGGTTCTAGGATCGAACCTGATAGCCAAAAAAGGAAATAAAATTGAAGTACAGAGAGAGTATGAGAGGATAACAGATCCAAAGAGAAAGAAAATGACTTGAATTTTATTATAGCAAGGGTGGGGAGTCTATTTATAGCTATACCCCAAGGTATTTGGGTAAACTAAAATTTACACAAACAACCCTTCAATACAAAACAAGTTAAAATAGCTTTATAAGTGAGCTGATAAAAAGAATTAAAGAAAAATAGAACAATCTCCATCCTGATTCTTTATTTCATCAATATCCAAGAAACCAACATTAAAATTCCACCCTCATCATCTTCAACAAGTCTAGACAATGCTGAATTTTTCAAGAAGCTAAAGCCTTAGCCAACTTATTTAATGCATTATAGTCCTTTGAAATCGTTACAATCTCCATAATCCCTACAGCAAATGCCTCCTTGATGACAAGGAACCTCACATTTATATGTTTAGTTCTTTCAGGACACATAGGATTATTGGAGAGAAATACTACACTTAGATTATCACAAAACACTAGCCCAGGAGAAATCAGTTGCTGAAATAATTCCAAAATTAACTCTTTCAACCAAACAGCATTTTTAGGGTTTCAGATGCAGCAATGTATTCACCTTCTGTTGCAAACAAAGCTAGAACCGGTAGCAATATTGTCGTCTACCTAACTGTGTTTCCAAACATTCTAAGGACATAACATGTAAGTGATCTTCAAGCATCACAAAATCCTTCAAAATTTGAATTTACAAACCCAATGATAACTTCATTCGAAGAATCCCATTTTTCATACTTTAATCACAAGGATGTGATTCCATTTAAGTATCTTAGTAACTATTTTATAGCCATGTACCTGCTTATAATTCTGAGTGAACAAGCCAAATCAAGCTTACAACAAACCATAGCACACATCACACTAAACACAACGTTTTGACAGAGAATATGATTCATATATGATCTTTCAACATCATCACCTGGTTATTAATCCTTGCTCAATTTAAAATCCTATGCTAAAGGTGTAGAAAAAGGCTTAGAAGCTGACATCCAACGCCTGCTCACAATATTTTTTATGTATAACCTCGAGACAAGAACAATTCTTACCTCTCTTCTTTTTTTATGATCTTCATTCCAAGATTTATAAATAGGACCAATATCCATCATCTCAAACTCCACCTTGAGCAAAGCCTTCAATCTTGTAATTTCTTGTAAACAAGAATTTGTAAGTTAAATAACATTAATAGAAAGTAAAAGATGGATAGTGTTATTGACCTCCTTAGATTTTAAATATACACAAGAATCATACAAGAAACAAGTCAAACCAACATCAAAAATATATAAAGCAACGAATCAAATCTTTTATACCACATTCATGGAGACTATTTCAACCCATATACAAATCTTTTTAATAAAGATACTTAATTTTCATCTTCCATTTCAACAAATCTTTCAGGCGAATTCATATAGATAGTATCCTCCAATTCTCCAAACAAAAATATGATTATGACATCCATTTGCTCAAGGTGCATGTTAAATTGCACAACATGACAAGTAAAACAAGTTACATGCATGCCTCATCATTTGAGAGAAAATTTCAACATAATCTACATCGTTTTCTTCCGTAAAACTCCTTGCTACAAGCCTATCTTTTAATCTTAACTCATCTACATCAAGAATTAAATCCTGCTTTTTGAAAAACTATTTTCAGTTGACAATCTTCTTGTTCAAGTATTATTCTTCTTGAGGGAAATTATCTCTTTATTTATGACGTGCTGCCAATTATTTCTCTCAACACTTTCTATGGCTTCTTTATAGGAACTTGATTCATCACCTGATAGGAAATTAGCCATAAATGCATAAGAAAAAACATATGCATGTCCCTACCTTTGTGGTACATGAACCATACACCTAGGTCTGTCCATTGATTACCAAATGTTCATCTTTTCATTTCTTCAATGTTTTCTTAACTACACTCGTCATTTTCTGCTTCAGTTCATTCTCGATCATTGCCTTCAAAAATTCCATGATTCTTTGACTGTTCAACATGAGTTTGAAATTTATAATTTGTATCATTAGTCGTGTTTCGAGCCATAATTCTTGGAATTAAATCTGTCATTTAGTTGTTCATTAAACACTCTCAACTTATCAAACATTCATGACGACCTAGTTCCAAATACCAAAACTTTTATCGTTTACATTCTCAGTATATCCAATAAATTATATTTCAAAGCCCTTAGTTTCAATTTTTCTTGCCTAATATGAGCATAAGCAATACAACCAAACACCTTTAGATTGTCATAGGCTCCTAGTTGCCCACGGCATCTTTCTTGTGAGGTCTTTAACTCAATAGTTGATGAAGGACGTCAAGTTATCAAATAAGCAACTATACTGAGTACTCAAAATTTCCTGTATTATTAACCATGCACCATATGCTTTCAAGGTCTTGTCGTAGCATTCAAGTAGACCATTTTTCTGAGTAAACCTCACGTTGTGATGTCGTTCTACTTCTTGCTCCTCATAATACCTCTAAAGTTGATTTGAGTACAGCTCAAAGCCATTGTCAATGCTCAACTTTTTGACCTCCTTTCGTGCTTAAATTTCAACCAGAGGCTTCCATTCTGTGAATTTTTCAGACATCATTTTTTCCTATCAAATATACCAATAATTTATGAACAATTATCACTAAAAAAATAGAAAGTACCTTACTATGTCATGTAACTCATTTCTTGCAAGACCCCTTTAAATACACAATCTAGAATCTCTTTAGATTTATATCATGAAATGACAAACTTCAACCTCTTCGATTTCCCTGTTGAGCTGTAATTTCTTCCCAGGAATCCCACAACTCACCCACGATCCCATATCCTGATGCCGTAACGACTCTCTCACGACACAAAAAGGACTCTTCTCATTCGACTGATACACGCGCACATAGAGAAAGAAGGATTTCGGAAGGTTACCTCAGAAACAATCTCGTCCGCCTGACCGGCCGACTCCGACCACACAAGCCGGCCGCCGCCATCCCGACGCCGAAACCGCTGGTATATATAATAAAAAAAGAAAAAAGAGAGATGGAGAGAAAATAGAGCATTTTAAAATACGTACAACAAATTGGGAGCAATTTGAAGGAAACATTGGGGTTGATACGGTCCGCAGAAGACCTTGGAAATTTTTTTCAAAAATTATGGACTTAGAAAAATTTTTGTGAAGATTGGAAAATGCTCAAATGACCATTCAATTTGGAAATAATTGCAATATTAATTCATTGATAAATTAAATGATGAAAAAGGGATTTTCAAGCAGATGTAAGCAATTTGAAGGAAGTCTCGGAGTTGATCCAGTCCCCCGAAGCCCTCGGTCTTCGAGATTATCCGACCGAGGGAGCGCAGACACTACTTTTCCAATCTTCTCGCCGTTGATTCGCTCCGGGCGAGTCGAGCCAAAGGGAAAATGCCCTCCTTACCTCCCAGCGCCGGGTAGGGGACGCCGGAAGGCTAACGAATTTTCGAGGGGAATAAAAGTATTTTTAAAATTAGTATCACAACAAATTGGAGAAGACTCAAGGTAGTCCAGAGATTGATCTGGTCCCCTGAAGCCCACAGTCATCAAGTTTATCCGACCGAGGGATTAAATATTTGAAAATATTTATGGGGTCGATTCGCTCTCCCAAACCTCCTCGTCGTTGATATGCTCCAGCTAAGTCGAGCCCAAAGGGAAAATGCCCTTCTTACCTCCCGACGCCAGGGGAGGGGACAACGGGAGGTTGTCAAAATTTTTAGTAAAACAATAATGAACTTGGACAAAAAATTGAAAATTTATTTGAACAATAAGTCAAACATAAAATCAATTATAAATCAAATTCGATCAAACAATATTAGACTTGGACTTAAACTCAAACTCGAACCAGACTTACACTCAACATGACTATAAGAACTTGAACTTTAATGAGTCACTTGGAATTGAACCTAAATTAAAATATAAGAAATCAAAATTTAAATTAATAAACATACAATCAAGTTGGGAATACAACTGCTAAGTGATAAATTCAAGTCATTCAAATAAATATCTACTGATACAAAAAGGGGACACTCACACCATCAAGTTTCTATTTTAAGTTATTTAAAATAAATACAATAATAATAAAAAATAATCACTTGGAAATTAATAAATAGAGCAGCTTCTGAGTACACTGCAAGAAACGGTGGTAGACATGCTCTAGTGTAATAGATCTCTTATAAGTGAAGAGAATCAATGTGCCACAAGCATAAAAGTTGGATGCATTTAATGAGTTCAAAGTGAATGAGGTCTATGCATAATCAATTCTATGCAACTCCAAGAAAGTTTGTTAATTTGATTGAAAACAACAATATATGTAGCAAACTTACAAGTATATGTGAAAGCCCCTACGACTTGGTGTAGAAGACTCCTGAATTATGCAACAGTCCCCTACAGAAAAAAAAACTTGACATGCAACGAATGTCATAACTTGCAATGCACACGACACATCGTATAAAGGAGACCTGCCATATTCACAAAATATCACGTACGAACAATATGTTAAATAACTACAAATACCGTAAAATCCTATGAGCCATTAAAGGAGGCTAATTATATGTTCAACATTTTGTAGGTGGACAAATGTGAAAGGACTACGGCTCATTTGCAAGAATAACCAAACAATACTTCTAATGACACCGGATCTGCAACATATGTACAAGTGGACAGAAGGCGTTTGTAGATCCTTAAATGAAATATAGGTTATTTCTAAATGAAATCACTAACACAATGGATCATATTTAAATATTTTAAAATGCCCCATATGTATGAGATGTGATCCCCTAAACTGAAATGCTACACCCAGCATGTGCTCTGACAAAGGCAGTAAAATTCTAAACACAAATGTCTGAGAATGCTGCGTAGGGTCAAATGCTACAACCTGTATGTGTTGTGATCGTCACATCTGAATCCCAAATCCAAAGATTCGAGAATGCTATGCGGGTCAAATATTCAAGTCTCATCCTCCTCAAAGAACTGGAGTCGACACAACTTGAATTACAAAATGCCTCCAAAAATTCTACAAAAATACAAGTGACTTTAAAGTCACCTCGATGATAACCGTGTTGACAGGAAATCTCAACCACAGGGGTCAAATCTCAAATCAAACAAAAGTCCAAATTCTTGAAGTAAAATCTATCACCTAAAAAATTTAAAACTAAAACATATTCACCACCCGCAATTGTTTGTCAGGGGTGATAAATTGGAAATAAACCTCAGCTCACAAAGAGCGAATGCATATCAGGTGTATCACTAGGATTCATCCTCAAATAGTCTCTTCCTAGCAGGGACGTGGCACGTGCCCTCTAATCGGGCGGTTTTGCCGCAAAATGACACCATTATATTATGATCACGACCAATGCCCGCATGTTCCCTAACAGCATCAAACCATTGAGTTATGAATCATAGGGTATATTCGATAGGCATAAAGCCCTCTATCAGCTAAGGTGGATTCAGATATATCCCATTAGATAAATATCAACCCAGGTCTACAAGGTATACTTAGACGAAGCTACCCATGGTTGCCGACAAGGTGCCTTCTATCAGGTTGGGTCGACTATCACCTCTGACAAAGTAGACTAGGGATTATGACAGCCCAGGACGACGGAACCATGGGATCTGGATCGAGCTCGTCTTTATTCCCCCACCACCAATTTTAAGTTTATGGTTGTTGACCTCATTATTCGAGGTCAGTTTCCCCGGACTCAATTCTAGCACCTAGGTCTTCGTAGCTTAGAATAGACGTCACCTGTAGGACCTCCCTTAGGTGGATACCCACAGACATAGCATTGACTCGACCCAAATCAAATCAAAGCCAATCGAAATTAATAAAGATAGAAAGATTAAATTCATAAAATTCAATAATAATCGAACCTAATTTTGATTAAATCACCATTAATCAGAACTCTTTAAGATAAATCTACCAAACATGAGGCTAAATAGACTCAAACCAAATTCAATTTTGAACGTAGGTAGCTTTGATTTACCCAAGTCGACTCGATTTGATAACTTGACCTAAATCAAAAATCAATTCAATCTAAGTCTAATTCAATTTTAAAACTAAACCCAAATCAACTATAATTGGAATAAATTGATTAAATCAAATCTTTTTAAAATCAGAAAAAAAAATCAAAATCAATATAAATTAAACTTGATATTAAACGAATTTAATTTAATCAAATCGATTATAATCATGATTAAAAATAATTAAATAAAATTGTTTTAAATCAATCCCTCCATCTCCTCTACAGTTCACGAAATCAACCGAACTTCCCATGATCCTTCCCCCTCTCCATTCGCGAACTGTACTCAATTTCCCTCTTATTTCGAATAAAAACTGCCCCTTGCACTCTCTGGATACGCACGAACTCAACTCCCACGAACTGCTCCCCCTCTCCTACTCTCAGTAATTCGCACAACCCAGCCTCTCGTTGCCTTCCTTTCTCTTGTGAAACCGAGCCCAGGACAGCAGTTCTGAACTGCTCCTCTCTGCAAGCAAGAAGCCCCACGCCTCTAGTCTCTCTAGCCAAAAATCAGTTCAGACGGAGCCCTCTTTGCCTGATCTCCTCTTTATTTCCTCTGGTTTGCACGCCTCCCCTAGCCCACGTTGCCTGAAGCCCTCCCTCTACATTGTGATTTGTTTGAATAGAGGTAACAAGGAATTGATAAAAGAGAGATGCATCTTGATTTTTTTTTTTTTTCCTTAAGAAGAAATAAAAGAATGTGAATTTCAGCAAAACCGCTCCCTCTCGGATGGTCTAGTTCAAAAAAAAAAAAAAAAAAAAACTCTAAAAAATACACACCTTCTCAGATTTTATATTTTTTTTTTATAAGAATGAATTCTCTATGGATCAAATTTCTGTTAAATTTGTAAGAAGCGTATGAACTAAAACTCTTTTTACTTAAAGATGTGTTTTGTTTTTTTTCTTGAGTGAATTTTCTGAGTTTTCAAAATTTTGATGGCAAAGAAATAACTGAAGTTGATAGTTTAGTTAGTCTTTACAAAATCTGAAGAGTTTTGTTTAGTTAAACTTCGTGCGATATTTAGTTTTTCATTAACTTCAATAATCTACACTTCTTAGTGAATAAAATCAAGTAAATTAATATTAAGTATTAATGCGATTGGCGACTAGTTGGAAGGATTTTTTTGTCTTTTTAATGAAAATTCTATTTTAGTTATGTTCAGATTTTTTACTCAAACAATTAATTAGGAAACTTTATGAAAGAGAGATTGAGTCATATACAATATATGTGTCAAGCTATGATATTGGATTAAAGTGTTTGTTATAATTCTGTTGAGATATAATGGTTATAGCTGACGGTTTTTGCTATCAGTTCGCGTAATCACCAAGATTTATTTGGAAAAAGTATAAACATTGTATTGTTTCGGATAAAAATAACATTTCTATGTTATTTCGTAAGTATAAATAGATCCATATTTTTAATATTCGAATAAAAAATGTTTTGAAGACTTATTTGAATGCAAATGGTGAGATATTCTATGCGGATTTACATTTAAATTCAAATACATATATAGAAATTTTTAAAGTCAACATTCCTAGTTTTGGCAATGGTGTTCCTGGAAATCACACTTAAATTGTATCTCAGTCTAATTCATGTACTAAGAATATAAAGAGTTTAAGTAGAGTAAAAGAACTGTATATTCATACATGGCTAGTTAAATGATGAACAGATTGAATATAGAACATTCATAACAACCTTTATTCTTATTTGTTGAACTCATGTTTGATTAATTGGAGAGAGTTCATGGTATTGGTGCAGAATTTTAGATTCTGAATGTATAGCTAATAGAGTTGAAGAGCAGTTCCCCATTTGCTCTTCTTTAATGGCTGAATATTCATTAGAGTCTTTTTATAAATCCTATTTGTCAGAAAATATAGAAAAATGTTTTATGCATTTCTTCCTCTCATGAATTTTTTTTTTTTCTGGAGAAATATTGAAGATGTTCAAATCATGTTTATTGGCGGG